GTCATCAATGGCTTGTATGTTTATTTTGATCGCGACTAAGCCAGAGAGAGAGAGAAAAGGTAGAGACTGAGAGTCATAGATTTTCGCTATGGTGATAGTAGCGTGATGATACTGAAAGATGCACTTGTTTTTGAAGTTTTTTTTTTTTAGAGCTCAAATGGGCTCGACAATGCTCTGTCGAGGAAATTGAGGTACGGAGAGAGACTGTTCCACGATTACGTGTGGGAGCCTCCCCAATTCACATATTGCTTTCGATTGCTATAGAATATTACTACCATCCGTTAGGTTTCACCCTGAAAGTAATAAGTTGTAGCAAAAATCATGTTTTTTGCATCTGCTCGTTCTTTCACTGTGTATTCTGTTTTTTTTTTTTTTTTTCGTTAGCTTGCGAAAAGAATTATCGAGTTTCACTGTCTTTTTAGTTAACAAATCTTGTACTGGGGGTTTTAACATTTAGGAAAATGAGTTTTCTTTTCAATCTTTCACAGTCTGTCAATCGTAAGTTTCTGAAAATACAAAATTAAGTTTTAAGCAAGAAAAAATGATAACTACAACCAAATCCGACCTATACACCATTAGAGTGGTGGATTTGCACCAAGGCTTTCCAAGATTTTGTGCGCCAATTTGGCCCAACAGCATTTTCTTTGAAGACCAGCGGACATGCCGCAATACTGTTTCCACATTGGCAGTATTCTGGCTTTAGAAGGCGATGATACACTTTAAGTAAAAATAGGCCAAGAAGACTTTATGGACTGGGAGGCCTTGTGCCCTTCCATTATTAACTTTACAGTGCCTCGGAATCAAAATTTTCTACAAGTTTTCGAGACGACATACAATTTATTCAGTGCAGAATGGGCAGCACTGGTGGAGGAAGCTACCAAGATACATTATGAGTATGACTGTGCGCGAGCAAAGTTGGAACGCGAAGACTTTAGTGTACAACAAAACGCAAATATACAACTCCAGGAATTACAGAACCAAATGGCACAGATTTATTAGGAGGCCTCCCTCGCGAAAATGCAAAAGGCCCAGACGCAGAAGCAATTGGAAAAAATGCAAGCGCAACTGGCAAACACACAGATACAATTGGCAGCATCCCATGCGCAACTTAACCAAACGCCGGAGGAATTGCGGCAGATGCGCAATCAGCTTGCGTCAACGCGGTCACAACTGGCGGTGGAGGCGCTCGAAAAATTAAACGAGAGGGAACAACAGAGTGTTCCTGATGCAAGTTGGACAACCGAACCAAAGGTTCCCCCACAAAAAGGGAGAAATTTATCAAGCTAGGCATGGAAGCCGGAACCGGCTTTACCGAATACTGAGGAACGCCCGAAGTTGGGTTTTCAGGGAATACAGGAATTACGACAACCAATTTGGACCGAAAGCAATGGACCATCGGAGAAGATCCGCACATTTGAAGGAATGATGGAATATCTGGGGGATGCATCGCCCGGCGAAGTTTTGGCGGCTTATCGGGAACTTTTTCCCAGGCCAGTTAACCCCGGTATATTTTATCAAGATGCATGGAATAATTTTGTAAAATGGCTGGACTCCATTCGCACCGAGGGGATATCAGCACAGCTGGTCCAAATGAGACGGCAGATATATACACAACTCAGGGTAATTCAAACAGCAAAAACATTCAAGAGCGATCCACACAGAGCAGCCGGATACGTTGTCATTCAAGGAGCAGACGCACAACGGGTCCGAGAAACCATAAAAGGAATGGCGGGCGACGAAAAGTTAACGTCATTGACCACAAAAGATATGGAAAATATTCTTCGGCCTTACGGAATGACAGCTCACTCAATAAAGAGAGGAGCTTTGGCCCACGCCGCGGCGGCAGTGGTCGAACACGATCTCGATCTACTATTATTAACACAGTTAGGGAAACATGCAGACCCCATGGAACTCCCACGCAGCACAGTGCGTTATCTGGGCCATTGGGCCGCCACATTAAACAAGTCCGCACACTTGACATAATTGATGTAAGAGAATTGGAAGAATGGGAATTGCCAGAATCCGCAACAAGACATTTTGGCGCTCCCTTTAAAGGGCACGATATTCTGCAACGATCACACCACACCAGGGTGGCGACGAAAGATGACGAAGCACGATTGCCGTTGCAACAAATAGACCTCGGAACACTTTCCACCAAATGGATTAGAGGACGCCTGAACGGAAGCGCCAGGAGGCGTTGGGACGAGGCGTGGAATATTATGCGGAAACCCGAGTTACACACCAGACGGCGTGAATCCCAGTTAAGAATCAACAACACTGATGCGCAGCGTATGAATAAACCAAGAATTATTTGTACAACCTCTTCACATCCAACTACAGGATGGGTGGGTAGTATCGTTTACGGTAGTGGAGGAAAAACCCTCCGGGCAGAGAAGGTGTTTCATCGCTTGGCCAAGGGAAAAGAGTGCCAAGGATGATTATGAGGCTGATGTTCCTCTAGGACACAATTCCCGATACCTGGGTGTGGTTTGCGACGAAACTGCAACTTTATTTGATTTAAAGGCATCATTTTTCCAGGTGGCTCCGCCAGGCAACATGCGCGCAAGTTTCCGTTGCCGAACGGAATCAGGGGAACTCGTTGAGTTCACTCGCCTTCGTATGGGTTATAAATGTAGCTCCGAGATTTTAAATACCATTACAAGGGTTCTGGCTGGTGATCCGGAACTGGTAAAGCCACAGTATGCGGCACCCAAAGAGTTAAAAATACATGTTTGGATTGATAACATAAGAATCAGTGGTTCACACAAAAAGGTGGAGTTTGGGGACAGCAAATTTTGAAGAACATGCAACACTGCGGCGCCACCATCGGAGAACAGCGGCTAAACACAAAGGAACGCGATTTCATGGGAGTACATTTCAATCACAAAAACAACACGGTTTCTTTAAGTGGTAAAACAATAAAGCGGTTGCAACAGGCACCTTCTCCAGACAACACGACAGTCGAAGAATTGGAGAGTACGGTTTCGCGTATGATGTGCGCAGGAGGGGTAAGGGGTGAATCCCTTTTCCCTTATTATTTCTTTCTAAAAATCGTACGCCGACGTTTGTCCCGTTTAAATCGAGGTTTAATACGGCCACAAAACCAGGAAAATTTGCCGACAAATACGGGGGAAATTGGGCAAAATTGGCTCACAACATTATTAAAGAATGAGCCGGTTCATCCTCCTCAGCAGTTGCCTTCCACGGCAACACTGGCAACATACGCCTCCATGTACGGATGGGGGGCGCTGTTATTTAAGGATTCAGGGGAGGTTTTGGCCGCGGGTGGTGCGCGGGAGCGAACACCCCACACGATTCTCCAAGCAGAGGCGCTTGCCGTTCATCCGGCATTACGAGGGTTTAACGTGCACTTGGCGGGTTGGGGGATGGCGTCAATGGGGTTTCTTCAGCCGAATTGCTGTTGCGTTGGTTTCCCACGGGCGTGGCTCTGGGGAACAAGGGTGTCAGAGGGGAATTGTTTTCTTTTGAGGGTGGTGTGGATTTTGTGGGGGAAAATTTGTAGAGTGAAACAATTATTGTAATTTATTTGTTTTATTTATAAACTCTGAAAGGGCAAGCGGGTATGATCGCATTTAGTTTGCTGCAACGCTAATGTCTTTCTCTTGCTCTCATGTTTTTCTGTATTCCCACACGAACTGATAGTCTAAGTGTTTGCTTCGGTTGTTTCTCGTTTTTGATTCAATAGAGATCGTTCTTTTCGCGCCCTCCCATCGCATCCCTGTAGGCTTTTTTTTTTATTTTTACGTTTCCATCCAGTGAACCGGCATGCCCTGCTGGGATGTCCCGAAACCGTGGATGCAGTCTTTACCGCGTTGTCTTCCGGCCACCGATCATGAGACTGTCCTTCACCTCATACAAATGAGCTGAAACAGCAGCAGCATTCTTCCAATGCCTTTTTTGTATTCATTTTTCTTGTTTGTTATTACTTTGGCTTTGCGTTTTTTTATTTCCCTTTTTTCCCTTTGTCTTGCGATAAAGTTTTGAATTTTTTCACAAGCCACGATTGTGTAATACCAAACGTTTTTTCATTATAATTAACATTGAGTGAACTGTCTAAAATGACTTATCTTAGTCCACAGTAAAATTTCNCGTCGGGTATTTTACCTGCGGCATGTCTGCCTTGTCCATGACCGCGTTCAGGTGTGGCTCCGTGATGAGTCGTCTGCGTCCCTTCATCTCCGGGAAGGTGAAAACATTGACACCGTAGCGTACCTTTTACGGTGGTAGAGGAAAAACCGTCAGGGAAGCGACGAAGATTTATTGCTTGGCCGAAGGGAAAGAATGCCCAGGATGACTACGAGGCCGACGTTCCTCTGGAACACATTTCCCGATACCTGGATGTGGTGTGCTATGAAACCGCAACGCTTTTTGACCTAAAAGCATCCTTCTTCCAGGTGGCTTTACCGCACAACATAAGGGCAAGTTTCCGTTGCCGCACGGAATCAGGCGAACTCGTTGAGTTCACTCGCCTTCCCATGGGATATAAATTTAGTCCTCAGATATTAAATGCCATTACAAGAGTTCTGGCAGGTGATCCTGCCATGGTAAAGCCACAGTACGCGGCACCCAAGCAATTAAAAATACACGTTTGGATTGATAACATCCGAATAAGTGGTCCACACAAGAAGGTGGAAACTTGGGGACTGCAAATTGCGCATAACATGCAACACTGCGGTGTCACGATTGGGGAACAACACCTCA